TAATTTCCATTAATTTTTTTTTCTCTATTTCATTTACTTCTGCTCTAATTTTTATTATTTCCTTCCTTCTTCTGACTTTGGGCTTTGTTCTTCTTTTTCCAGTTCTTTTAGGTGTAGTTTAAGATTACTTATTTGAGGTTTTTCTTGTTTGTTGAGGTAGGCCTGTTGCTGTAAATTTCCCTCTTAGTACTGCTTTTGCTTTATCCCATAAGAGTTGGTGTGTTGTGTTTTCATTTTCATTTGTCTCCAGGTATTTTTTGATTTCTTCTTTGATTTCTTCATTAATCCAGTGGTCATTCGATAGCATGTTGTTTGATCTCCACATAATTGTGCCTTTCTGTGGGATCTATATGTTATTCTACTTTCTCACTTTTTTTTTGGTCAGTCTGGCTAGATGTTTATCAATTGTATTGATATTTTCAAGGATCCAGCTTTTGGGTTTTTTTTATTGTTTTTGTTTTATTTTCACTGATTGCTCTTCTTATCTTTATTATTTACCTGTTTCTGCTTGCTTTGGGTTTAATTTGCTCTTCTTTTTCTAGTTTCCTGAAAGACCTTTCTTCTTTTCTAGTATGTGTATTTAATCTTATAAGTTTCCTTTAAGCACTCTTTTATGGAGCATTCCACAAATTTTCATTCAATTCAAGTATTTTATTTCTCTTATGACCTCTTCTTTGATTCATGGGTTATTTAGAAATGTGTTGTTTGTTTTCCACATTTTTTGGATTTTCAGATATCTTCCTGTTGATTAATTTAATTAATATAATAAATTTTAATATCTTTGTGGTCAGGCATACCTTTTATGATTTCAGTTCATTTAAATTTGTTGCCCCAAATATGTTCTGTCTGGTTGAATGCTCCAAACTTGAAAGAACGTATATTCTGCTGTTCAAACTTTAGGTTTCCCTCTGGTGTTATTTCCCTTCAGCCTGAAAAACTTCCGTTAGCATTTCTTTTAGAGCAGACCTGCTGGTAACAAATTTGACATACAACCAATTGTATGTCATCTAATTTTGAATTGTATATTGAACATTTTGAATATTATGTTGTATAGACTCTTATAATCCTCTGGAGAGTGTGAATTTTTTCTTTTAAACAGACAACCCAGTTAGGTTCAGACCACAAGTTCTGTTTGGCTTTCCCCATACAGAGCTCTTCTCCAAGTTTTGATTCCCTCTGCAGTTTGCCTGTTTTTATTTACTTTTCAGAGTTCTCAGGTAGTTGCTTTTGTATTTTGTTGAGAGTTTTTAGTTGTGATCAGTGGAAGAGAGAGGCTATAGTGGGCTTACTTTATGCTGACTAGAATTACAAGTCTCTGTCTTGTGTTTTTTTAATTCTACAATTTAGATGCAATTATTATTGCTTTATAACCATCACTGTTTAGATTTATCCACATATTTACAAAAAAAATTTTTTGATACTCTAATCTTTTTTGCATCTTAGGCCCTTCTTCTAGGATCATTTTTCTGCTTTTGGAGGGACAGCCCTTAAAAGTTCTTTTACTGGTGATCTTTTGGGAGTAAACTCTGTTTTTATTTGTCTTTATTTTATGTCTTTATTTTGCTTTTATTCATGAAAAATGGTTTTGTTGACCATTTGTATGTCAGAACTTGAAAGATAACATTCCATTGTTTTCTGACTTCTCTTGTTTGTGCTGAGAAAGTCCTTGTCATTTTAATTGTTGTTCTGTCATAGGTAATAGATCTTTTTCCTCTGGAAACTTGAAGATCTTCTTTTTGTCTGGTGTTCTCTATTTGTCCTTCTATGATTCATTGGTCCTCTTGACTCTTAGGAGTCGTGTCTTCTATATTCTCAGCTGTTAGCCATGAAATATTTCCTTTCCACTGTTCTCTAATGTATCCTCCTGGAACTCTGATTAGATGTTGGCTGAGTTTCTCACTCTGTCTTTCATATCTCTTTGCTTCTATTTTTTCATATTATTATTCTTTTTGTCTTTGCACATTGCATTCTTAGTATTGAGAGACAAAGGGATAAGCAGATCAGATTCAACACAGGAAATTAAAGTAAAAGCCAGTCTTAGGGTCTTGACCACTAGTTAGAGAAGATTGAAGGTATGTTTTGCTAAACTGTATTGCATGGTTCACTGACTCTCTCATTTTTGTCTTTGACATTTTGCTCTAATGGGCATGTTTTCCGGATGACATTGTCCAGAACATTATTACCAAACCCTGGATTTGTCTGAGCTAGCATAGGCATCCAGGAGGTCCAGTTTGTTAGGTGAGATGTAGTAGTGGGGTTGTGTGGACAGAAACAGTATAATATATAGTGTTTAAGATGCTTGAGCTCTATAGTTAGACACACTTTGGTTCAGACCTCTGCTTTAACATTTATTAGATATGTGACCTTTGACGTGACTCCTAATCTTGCTACACTTTAGTTTTCTTAGCCTTGACTCTTGTTGTTGTAATTATTCCTCCTAAGTCAGTTGTAGCATTATAATTCTAGGCAGATTTCTTCAGATGTGGAAGTAGTAGAGAACCTTTATCTCTGTATCACCATTTCATAGAATTTCTTTTAGTTTAAAACCATGAGGCCAGGGCCTGGCCTGACGGCATAGTGATTGAGTTGGGCGTGCTGTGCCTCGGCAGCCCTGGTTCACAGCTTCGGATTCTGGGCGCAGACCTGCACCACCCATCAAGCCATGCTGTGGCAGCGGCCCACGTACAAAATAGAGGAAGATTGGCACAGATGTTAGCTCAGGGCCAATCTTCCTCAAGCAAAAAAAAACAAACAGAAGATTGGCAACAGATGTTAGCTCAGGGCCTATCTTCCTCACCAAAAAAAAAAAAGAAGCCATACTTCTTGCTAATTCATGTCATTTTGAGTTGTAACTTGCTTTTTTAATTCCTGCTGGTGTTTATAAATCTAATCCTTTTTTGTTTACTTTATAACCGTAGGTCATTGTGTCAATGAGTATAGCATTTGCTCAACAAACTGAACTATCTAGACTATCTGGGGAAAAAGAAGAGACTACATCATCAAAACAAATACATACTCTCTGTCAGCAAGAAAAACAACATTATTTAAATAAAATGAAATCACAGGGTCAGCTTGGTTTTCAGACTTTGGAGGCAACGGACATGAAATTTAAAGAAGAATTTAAACCACTTAGTAAAGAGTTAGGAGAAGATGGAAAGGAAGTTCTCTTATCAAATAATGATAATCTTGACGATATACTAGAATCAAAGGACCATGAACTGACTATTTCAGAAGAAATGTTCTCCAAAGATAAAACATTTATAGCCAGAGAATCTGTAAGTGTGCTTCCTTGAATATAAAGACTTATAAAAACTTTTGACTTCTTTCATTATAAAAATATTTGCAGTAATGTTGCTTAATGGAGAAGGAAAGTACAGTCCTCCCTCAGCATCCACAGGGGATTGGTTCCAGGACCCCACGTGGATACAAAAATCCACAGATGCTCAAGTTCCTTATATAAAATGATGTATTTGCATATAACCTATGCACATCCTTCTGTATACTTTAAATCTTCTTTAGATTACTTATAATACCTAATACAATATAAATGCTATGTAAATATTTGTTCTAGTGTATTGTTTAGGGAGTAATGACGGGAAAAAAGTCTGTACATGTTCAGTACAGGCGTAGCCATCATAGACCTTTCCATCCACGGTTGTTGAATCCGTGGATGTGAAACCCACGGATATGGAGGGCCAGCTGTATCAAATCCAGTCTTGACTGAAGTTTCACATTATCAGTGTATTTTATTGCTTGTAAGGTATATGAATAAATGACTTAATATTGTTATTAGATAAAACAAGTCTGGGTCATAGTATTCTTGATTGTCTTATATACATTGTGCATGGTAAAATCTCTTTGTAAGTAATATCTATATTAATTTTGTTTCAGTCAATTCAAGATTAATTATACTACAATTTGGCAATATGTATGAATAAAAGATTTACTTAATTTAATATGATAATAACAACAGAAGGAGATAGCTGCCTATTTAAGAAGACAATTTAAAGCATTCTACTCTATACAAATTCTCTTTCTTTTTACTTATTCATTAATGGAGGATCAGTGTCTGTACTGCAACTGTTTGTGCTTTTAACAGAAAGTAATAAATCCTACTTCTTTTAAAATTATATAAATTCAAATCTTTGATTGATGTTCAGGATAGGTTATGTCTTGTTTAGAGCCATATTCAAAAAATTGTCAACTCTTTTTGAAGTGCAAAACTTGTGAGGTATTCGTAAAAGCTTTTTAATTTACCAGCAGATGTTCAAGGCGAGGTATTTTGTTTAAGTAGTAGTTCTTCAGGAATTGAAGTCCTTATAGAAACCCATTAAGGAGTTGACTTCTTATGAATACGAGAAAGTGGGATATAAAGCTATTTCCAAATAAAAATTATTGAAGGTTGTTTCTTATCAAGCAGTTCTCTGTATTACCCTGATGACTGCTGCATAATGTAGATAAAATAGGTAAAATTTATCATGTATAATAAATTTAATTTTAAATATAAGTATTCCAGGGCCGGCCCCGTGGCTTAGTGGTTAAGTGTGCGCGCTCCGCTGCTGGCGGCCCGGGTTCGGAT